TCTGTCTACTTATTTTCAATAGGATACTTTTAGATTATAGGATAAGCTTCTTGGTGTCATTATTGAAGAACGAGAGAAAATCGCCGTGTTGAAACACACACACACAAACACTTATATATAATATTGAAATGTTTATTTTCACTTAACTGGAGTTTCGTGGCTATATAGCTATAACCACTTGACGGAATAGAATTAGTCTGCCCCGACGAGTGGTTAAACCTAGCCACTAAACTCTGAAGTAAATATGAGTTAAGTAAAAAACACTTTCTTATTAGGTTGGTGCAAAAATAATTTCGTTTTCTAACATATGTTACTATGTAAGAAAACGAAATTATTTTTGCACCAACCTAATATATTAATTTATTAACGCTCTATCCCTGTCTTCTATATTGTACACTCTACCACGAAGCCTGCTTGCATTAAATGACTCCTTATCAGTAAATCAGTGAAAATCAGCAATTTTTGGTTTTGGTTTTCAAAATCAGTATTTCAAAATATATATATATATATATATATATATATATATATATATATATATATATATTGGGAGTAGATAGATTCGCCTATCATCTAGTTTACACTCCTCTCGAGGATTTTGAACAGGAGAGTTTTATCCCTTGTTTCCTGTTTAGGATTGGTTTTCCCATTCCTTCTGAAGTCTTTTCATTCACTTTCACCCCCAGTAGCTCCTTGCATTATAGTGGAATTTATTTGGCAACATTTTTTATCCAATAGTAGGGTTTGTTGAACCTGGTACTAATTGTTAGGATCTTTTGAACAGGAGTGGAGGTCTATCCCTTATTTCCTGTTTAGGATTGGGTTTCCGGTTTCTTTTAAAGACTTCTCATTCTCTTTCACTCTCAGTAGCATTATATCCTTGCTTGGGGTGAACTGATTAATATACACACACACACACACACACACACACACACACACATATATATATATATATATATATATATATATATATATATATATATATATTAATAAATTTTCAATTGCTAAATATATATATATATAGGGGGGGCTGTAAATGTACGTGTACAGTAAGTATTACACTAGTATTGCCACTATTATAATAGTGGTTCTAGGATTCAATTAATTCGTTAAAATATGTTTTAACAATTTATTTTTATTATAGTACATTTATTATTATTTTTACTTTTTAACAAATAAATTTTTAACAAAGAATATCAACCATAAACATCTTGGATGTCTCTGTACGGCAATACAGAGGAAGGTGGCAGAGGAATAGTTCAACTAGAACTGTCTTACAAAACAATTGGCCTTCAAAGATACCTGGAAACTACAGAAGACTGGATGATGATATGCGTCAAAGAACATGAAAATATTAAGCGACTTTATTTAATAATAAAGGAAGCCAACAATTTCGAAATGGAGTTTCAAATGGGTGAAGAAATACAAGTAAAGCTATACCGACTGAAGCTGCAAAATACTTAAAAAAGAAAACAAAGGCAAATGCAATCGACCAGATACAGAAACGATGACAAGATAACCCGCTTCACGGTCAAAACTCTGCCTGTACTACACAAACGGATGTAGATAAACCTTGCACTCAGTGGTAACGTAGTACAGGGTTAAAAACTAACAGCGAAGGTTTTATTCTTGTTGCACATGACCACTGCTTGCTAACTAGAAATTATCAAGCACACATACTGAAAAAAATATTAGTCCAAAATGCATATTCTATGATAAATATCCAGAACAATTGACCATCTTGCATCAGGTTGCATGGTATTGGCACGCACTGAATATAAAACCCGTCATGATAGAGTGGGCCAATATCTACACTGGAAAATTTTACAGAAAGGAAACTGAAAGAAATTGGTATGAACACAACCCAAATCCAGTTACGGAGATAGGGCCTGTGACAATTTTATGGGACTTTACGATGCACACAGAGAGAATAATCAAAGCTAAAGGTCCAAACATTGCGATTAGAGACCCGAAAAAGACAAAAATGTGCCTCCTTATTGATACTGCAGTCCCTGCAGATTGCAATGTATCTTTGAAGATCTTTAAAAAGCTATCAAAATGCAAGGTCTTGAAATCTCAAAAATGTGGCAATGAGAATTTCAACAATTCCAGTTGTACTTGGAGCCCTCAGATTGGTTGGAAAAGATTCTAATAGACTCACGAAAGGGATTCCTGGCAGCCCATGCCTTAATACAAAAGATTGTTCTCAGGAGTACAGCCCACACCTTACGAGGGTCCTTATCTATGTAAAATATATATAATTCTTTTTTTAAATTACTCAGTGGAAAATGTCATGATGCCATTTCTGACTTTAGGTCTCCGGTCGGGAAAGAAATGCTTACACACCAAAAAACAAAGGAAATAGAATAATAATATAATAAATATTATGCAGGTAATAATATAATAAATATTATGCAGGTAAATTGGTAATTTAACGTTAAAGGGGCGGGAAAGTATTTTGAAACAGTACTGAAAGACATTATTATAGATACATTTGTATAACTAATACAATATCTTTTTCTACGTATGTTTTGCTTTTCTTTACTGTATATCTACTTTTGCATCCCAATGTCTATTGATCTTGTTGGGGACTGCATAGTGTGCGAGATTCCAGGGTTATATACGCTTTTTAATTCAAAGCTGTTCTTCTGATAGACTAGTTGTCACGGCTAGAGAGCCAAATATGCCCTACTATTCAACCCATAGTTGATGGGAAGAAGAGATGGATTCACAATTTGTTCTACTGGGATTAGAACTCTCTGATTTATGACACCGCCTGCATGGCGCTCACAATAATTTTATAGTCTTCACTTACGACGGAGGGAAATTTAAAAATAATTTTAAAAGATCTGTTGCAGGCGTAACGACTGACATTTATTAAGTAACGAAAGAAGTGAACTGAATGATTAACCATTTGCACTAAATAAAACTAAGTGCTACTTTTATGCACGTAAGGAGAAAGTTAAAGATTAATAGTAACAGGACGCCTCCATTGAAGTTAGGACTATTTCACTAAGTATCCTTATCGCTACAACTATGACCATTACGAATAATTCACCAATATTATTATTTTCGTTCTGACCGCAACCACGTTCTTAAATACGAGCAAACGGCCACAAAACCACGAAAACTCTCACCTTAGCTTCCGAGAAGAGGACCCCTAAAATCACCATCACTTCTACCACCTCTTCATTATAAAATCAACCACGTTTAAAATTTGTAATCTTATCACTACTAACAAAGCCAGCAGCAGCAACAAATGCCAGTCTGAATGACCGTTCGTTTGACACGACAAAGTGTGATTTTGATGCGTGAGAATTTCTTGAACCCATTAGTGATCAACGTCTAGTATAGTTATTGCGACATTGAGCAACGGAAGTAAAACCCCACGGGAGTCAAGCTATCAGTGTTTCCCTTAGGTCAAGTTATAACCTCACACAATTAGTTCCTGTCGTAGTCATAGCAAGCAAATTAGCCGAGATGACCTAGTGGCGTCAGGGCGATGATACTTGGCGTTCATAATGAGATCGCGCTGGAGTGGCTTGACATGAAAAAGAAAGAAAGAAAAAAGAAAGAAAGAAAAAAGAAAGAAAGAAAAAAGAAAGAAAGAAAGAAATGCGGCATTGGCAAGGTACGGGAAGCCAAGTCGGCACTGTGTTCATTGAAATCAAGCGAGGAATGGTCATCTCTTTGCGTTACAAGAAGCCTGGGAGTCTCTTGCAAAGGTTTTGAAATTTTATACAGCGATGACTCGTATATCCGGGACAATCACTGACGTAAGTAGTCCGCACACTACCGCTCCTATGTGCACTGTCATATTTTTTCTCATAGATATTTCCAAGGAGCAGGACGTTGCCCAATAATTTTCAGTTTATTTACTTAAAATTATAGATAATCTGCCATAATACAGAATCATTTACAATTTGGTTTGGGCACCTCGACGTGGTTTAATGGTTATCACTTTTTTCCCGCTAATACAATTACGACTGAGTAGTGAATTCGATCCTCACTTGGTGCCCCATATTTTCGGCTTTGTGCCACATCTAAGCTACACTTAGAAAATCGCCATTTACAATTGTTATTTATCCCGTTTTAGTCGATAACGTGTGTATTCTCCAGAATATTAAAAAAAAAATTCCCGAAATGTGCCGTTTAGCTAAAATATACGTAATTAAATTCAAGAAAGAAGAAAAATGCTATAAAATCAATACAAAACTTCAGAGCAAGTTCTGGTACAAATCTTTTATTCATGTATATTCATAGCATTATTCTTGAGTCGTCATATGCTGGTAGTATGACGGTTATCGGCAGGAAAGTGGAACCGGCGTACCGAGTTCAAATTCCGAACGATTCTCTTTGGTTCAATTCGCGCTGAAGACCTTGGTAAAGTGGTGAATCTATTTTTCCTCCTAGCTATAGGTTAAAAGCAGAGTAGACGGGGATATCCTGCCTTGGTTGGCAGCCAGTCTATGAGAAGTAAAAACTCTGAATTCAAAACTAAGGATGGCTGTTCAGAGATTTCATCGTTCAATGGGCATCGTTTCTTCTTTATCGGTTCTTTTGAATTGTGCAGCTGTTTCTACGCAACCTTTCATCACTATAATTAAATATTCTGTGTGGGTAGTCTAATTGTGTAGCCCTTCCCATGCTGAATAGTTGGGCTCTCGAAATCAACGGGAAAATTCATTTTGTCACACCAATCAGGTGCGGTGTCATAAAATAAAAGTCGGGGGTGGGTACTAAATCTGAAGTTAAAAGTAAGAGAGTCTATGTCAGATTTTCGACTTTTAAAGATTTATTTACCCTGGTCACCCTACTGAGACGTGATGTGACAAGGTCGGGTTTAATGTGGGGAACCCATGTGTAAAGATTCTGATCTTCTCAAAAATGAATCATTTTACATTTCTTATCCTACTATAAACATTAGGTTTTGATTTTAAATATGCACATTTTACACTTCGTTGGTGCTTATTTTCTGGAATGACAATACAGTCATTCTGCGTTACGGCCACATCACGTTGAAACATCGCTTCCCGCGCGATCACCGAAGTTAAGCAACGTTGAGTCTGGTCAGTACCTAGGCGGGTGACCGCTTAGGAATACCAGACGATGTAAGCTTGGATGTGCGGGTGGTGTAATGATTAACGACACGGAATTGTTAATCGCAGAGTAGCGTTCCGATTCCACTAGGTCTTGTTTTATTCACTTATGCGCAAATAACTTTAGGAAAGGTACGAATCTACTTCTTTCCCCCAGATATGGGTTAATTAGTAAGACGTATATCTCTAAATCATTATTATCTCCAAAAAATGAAAATTGTTATAATCTAAAAATATTTTCTGTCTTAACCCGCAAAGGGTTGATAAGCCGTAGAAAACGGATCAATCTATATCATTTTCTGCATATAAGACTTATATAGACGCTTTAGAAGCTAAAATTAATAAAAAGAAAAGAAAACGAAGTTTTCTGACTAATTTTGAAAATTAATGGCAGTAATGATACAGTTCAGCTTAATTGCATTATCATAGCGTGAAGCCAAGAAGACAAAGTTAATTTTCTCTTTTGCTCTCAGTTCCAGTAAAACATATAAGTGATGAAGCCCACTAACTCCGCCTATAGCACCGTAGCTGTCCATTATTTTAAAATCAATGAGCATATCGATTTTTGATATGTGATCATTTACTGTAATTCAGCAATATTATCTGTGTGTTTTATCTTTAATAAATTGAACTACTGATTCCTGGAACTACCATTTTATTTTCCATAAGACTAGATATGTATTTCAGTATAGCTATCGAGACTTAGTTTTTAATTCCAGATGTATAAAGAATGCTATGTTTACGTAAGAACCTCAAAAGAGTAACAAAAACGTTAGAATATCATCAAGTAATGGGAATACAGCGTTGCAAATTGCAAATCAAGTTGACATTGATCAGAAAATAACCAAGGAACACATTGAAACGTTTTTCAAGCTAAGAGCAAAAAATACACTGGTTTTAAGAATATTACAAAAGAGAGATTTAAGAAAAATTCCTTCAATTTTTCTTAACAACAATAACAAGCAATAAAAGTGGTTTGACCAGCAAGAAAATATTTTAAGAAGCTGGTGTTACGAATGTAAACAGAAAGAAAAACATGCAGAATATTAAGACCATTGGCTAAAACGTAAAAACAACTACCATCTTTCAGTAAACACCACAATGAAAAACATACAAGTTGGACTAAGAAGTATATAAAAAAAAGATTTCTTAAGAGTAATTTTAAGTGATGAATGTAGAGCTATATTGGATGGACCTGATGACTGGACTAAAGTTTGGGTCTGTGGGAGAATGAAAATAAACTAATAAATAAAATAGTAAATAAAATTATAATAAACAAAATAAAGAATTTAATTTTCCCATAATGCAAAACGAAAACTAATAAAGGTTTTCTGTGTGAATTTTATGACCCCACTCCCGGAAAGGAGATGATAGTTCTCTTCTTGCTTCCTACCCATTGAGTTCGGGAATTTGTTAGCCGTCCCAATGAAATATAGATTCAGTCACTCTCACTCAACGTCAGTTTGAGTTGAGGCGTGGATACCGAACGGTGACCGCGGTTGAGGTCGACCATTCTCTATACCTCCATATTTTGTACCTACGTGCCTCAATAAATATTCGCCAGCGATTTCCTAATCAAGTATTCGTTTTGTTTATTGCGCTCCACTAACATTCAACTTCTGTTAGCGACACGAAGTCAAATAGCAACCCTCCACAGGTCCTTCATGGAAATCGTTAAGCAACTTGATTAAGAAAATAACAGGGAAAGTCTAATAATATTTTGTACTGGTATTGCAGGCAGTAAAATTATAGATTCATTCGAAGTTGATGATAGTATCACGATAAATGCAGATAATTATTGTTTTTGGACAAGATCTTTTTTTAGCTGTACATGACACAACCAAGAAGCTCTAAAGAGTATATTCTTGCAAGACAATATCACTTTATAACCTGCAAATCTGATGACTGCCCATCTTGCCAAAATAAAGAAAAAAGGTTTCAAAGACACTCAAGTTAATGCGATGGCCTCTAGCTTCTCAACAAAAAAAAGATGTGGTCCTTAATCGGAAAACATGGTTGTGAAAATCGAAGAGAAAGAAGGTCTGCGTGAAGCAATAAAAATTGCTATATGTAATGTCAACGCCGAAACAGAAGAAAAGTTAACAAAATGAATGAAATAATGATGTAGGTTATAGAATGTCAAGGAGCCTGTATTCTTCTTATTCTTGAGGATGTTGGCGATCATGACTCTCCACAATTTCCTGTCCTTTGTAACTCTTAATATTTTTGTCTTTTTGCTATCTCTCCTAAACCCTCTTCTGCCATGTCAAGCTCACTAGGTAGGTTACAGGTTATTTTTCTCTGTATTCTCTTGCCTTCAATCTGTCATGTGAGTGTCAAATTTTCCAAACTCTCTTTCCTCATTTGTACCCTAGAAATTTCAATTGTCTATTTCTGAAATTAAGTATAAATATTTTTTTGTTTCCATTTTCTCTAAAACATCATTGTTGCTCATATGTTCGGACCATGGTATCCTCAGCATCCTTCTGTAGAAGCAAAATAAAATAATAATCGAATCATGTGTATGAGATATTGTGTCAATGAAATATACGTTTATTTATAAATATGAGAAAATTGTGTCAATGAAATATACGTTTATTTATAAATATGAGAAAATTGTGTCAATGAAATATACGTTTATTTATAAATAAAAACAAAGATCTCAGGACACAGGGCCTAAATCTTTTGTATTTATATATAAATGCAAAATTATTTTGATACTTCCAAAACAGGTTTTCAATATTAAGAACCCCGCCCCCCTGATATTATAAATAAAATCTTTCACGATATATTAAATATATCTATATGTACGAGCATATATTAAAACATGGAGGAGGCACGGTGGAGTAATAGATAGCGGCTCGGATTGAGGAATCGGAGAGCTGAGTTCGAATTTCAGTCGAATCCGTTATATTCACTTACGTGCTGACACCTTTCTCAAACCTATGGGTAAATAGTCTTAGATGGCAACTGGTCTAGGAGAAAGACAAAATTCAAAACCTGCGGAGGCTCGAAAGGGGGGAACTTGTGGCACGTAGTGTACCAGGTCCCTGTATTCTTCAACAATCAAATCATATGTGTAGGTGTCTAGCTGTCGGTTCCTAGTGTTGCTTGAACCTCATACGTCGATAAAAGGAGAGTCCGGCATATTAAAGCATTAAAACCATTGACTAGTATAATAAATTCGACCGTTGTTTATTACTTATTACTAAAGAAATAAATAGATAAATAAATATCGTGACACTTATAAGGTTTCTGTCATTTTACACAAAAATGACACAAGGAATATTTGCATCAAATTGATTATAGCATTAATTAATTAATCTAATTAATTCTAGTATTTCAGTTAATCAAACTAATTGTAGTATTTAAGTCAGCAATGCAATAAACTATACCATGAGTAAACATTTGTTCGATAGCGCACGGCAGAAAAATTAAAAATGAGGAATTGTCGTTTAATTGGACATGGACTATCCCCGAAATCCCCAACCAGAGGGTCCCAAACCTGATTAGGGCGCCGGGAAGTAATTTGTGACCCTGAAATCTTATCAACATTTGCTTTTTTCTACCTACATTTGTATAAGATGCTAAGCACAACTGACTAAATGTGGAAAAATTTTGCGGATTTTGACGTCATTCTGTGGGTAATTTTTTGTTGTTGTCCAAATCCGTGAATTTGTTTTACTCATGCTAAGTCTGGAAAAAAAACTGTATAAAATTCACTATTTTTTTTTATCCATAATGTTGAATCTGTTAAATTATCCAACTTTTTAACACGAAGAATCTCAAGTAGGTGCTAAAAATTGCTGCAAGACATTGTTGATTTATTTGCATTGTATTTATTTTCAATTTTTCTACCTATATTGCATATGTTCGATTATTGTACACAATTAGGTTACAATAAAATTTGTATTTTATATGAATACTACATCATGATAAAATATAGTATGAAAATTGAGATGTAGTAGAGTGGTTAGCCGATTCGGGGGTATCATAGATTCTAGAGGTCACGTGACCTTTGCATTGGCCCTGTAAGTGGAGATCGGATTCAGATCGAAATACTAGCAATCATTAGGCAACATACTTTTTGGATAGTTTTAATTAATCGATGTTAACAACAATCCTTTTTCATAATTCATTTCACTTGTCTTGTTGTCTACATTGACAAGGCTTGCTTAGAAATCTATAGTATCCAAGCATTATTAAAAATGTTTAACTGAAGGATTTTAGATGAATCCCAAGATGAGACATTTTAAGAATAGCGGTGACATGTAGATAGATAGATAGATAGATAGATAGATAGATACATACATACATACATACATACATTTTGTTGCTTTATGGGGGTAATAATGGGGCCGGGGCGGATTGTTATTCAATATGCAATAAACAGGGATCTGAATAAAAGTGAGGTCAGAAATTCATTTAAAAGAATAATATGTGTGAAATTAATAAACGCATTGATCTTAATAAGTTTGTCGGTGTCGGAAAATGTTCTCCACTCACCAAGAAAAAGAAAAATAAACATCTCCCTCGTATATTAAGCACTTAAGAGAAGATAAATAGATAGATAAATAAATAGATGAACAGAAAGAAAGATATAATGAAAAGGACTGAGATAGAAAATATTACAAAATATTTTTTAAAAATCTGTATAAGGGACATAAATGTTGAGATAACAAATCCGGAGAGGGAAAGTTAATTCAATTTTTAAAATATTACGTTCATTGACTATAGACATGTTATTGTTTCATTTCAATTTTATCGTCTGTTTATCGTCAAGTATATTTCTTAATACATCGGAGTTACGTCCCCTCTTTCTTACAACGGCTTTAAAATTAAATTTAAATATTAACTTAAATTGTTCAATTCATTAATGAAAATAATTTTAATATTTTTTAACAAAAATTGTGAATTTCTTTTCTACAGCTTATCAACCCTTTGCAGGTTATTTAAAGCCAGAAAATATTTTTAGATTGTAGGAATGTTATTTTTAGATAATAATAATTTATTTAG